GGAGTGTGGGCCAGAGTATCTAACCTATATTCATGAATATAGTCCTGTCTCCTTTAAAATTTTTTATTAAGACTTTTTTTACCTTTTCATGTTTAACTAATACCTTTTCCACTTTTAATATCTCTATATCACATTTCTTTAATTCTTGTTTTAACTTTTCTCAAGTCTTCTTATATTGTTTTACTACATTCTACTGTTTCCACGCCCTTATCGCATTCACAATTTCCTGTTGGGTGTTTGCCTAATAAATGCAATGTTTTATTCAAACCTGTGTATCCCAATTGAAACATTGTCGTTATTACTTGTTCTTTTCTATTTCCTCCTTTTATTTTCATTTTTCCAACTTTCTGCTGTATTCTAAACAAATGACGACCTTTATTACCCTCCTCCCAAATCCATTCAGATCTTATTTGTTTCTTAATAATAGATTTCATTTCAGATTTACTAAATRCAACATTCCTAACTCTATCTTGTTTTAACGATTGTTTAGCTAAATAATCTGCCATATCATTCCCTTCTATATCTTTGTGAGCAGGTACCCACATGAATCTAACTATTATTTGTTCAATGAAAACTGTAACAGCATTTGTCAGAAAAACAACACGTGTCCGCCCACATTTATGTCACCTGACACCTAAAGACCAATTTTCATTGGGTCCTGAAGCTGTCAATCATAAACACACCACGTGGTAATCGGAAAAAAATRACAAATATGGGCTCGAGGGGGCGGTGGTGTGTTTCCTGTCAGTGTCAGCGGTTGTATCTCTGAAGTTAACACCTGAGTGAGTCAGTAATGATTACTTCAGCAGCTTAAACTGTGCTTTAGTAAAACAGCGTCGGTTTAACCATCACAGTCTGGCGCGTGACCTCTGATTTTTGGAGTGAGCTCCGCGAGCAGGAGCCGCCGCTGACGAAGGCTTGTTTAGCTAAAAAGAGAAGCGTCACCGCCTGTTCGCACCAGACACCCAGGTCTCCAGCTGCAACCAGGGCACGGCCATGGCTGCCCTCGGTAACTCGGGAACCACGAAYCTGGCCCCCAAGACGAAGACGAAAAAGAAGCACTTTGTGCAGCAGAAGGTGAAGGTGTTTCGAGCGAGCGAGCCGATCCTGGGCGTCTTTATATGGGGCGTCAATCACTCGGTGAGAAGCTAACTAATGCTAATGTTTGTGTAGCCTAAAGCTAACTCCTGTTAGCRTGTTGTTGTTAGCTTGACAGGCAGCTTGCACATGACATGTCCATTGACAGGTGAACATGTGAAGGTTTCACAACTAAATATGTGACAAAAGGTTCACTGTCACTACCTTTACAACTTATTTTAACACAGGTGACTTGGGTTTACGTCAAACTTTACAGGTTGGACCCATATTATTATTAGTAATGTAGTCTGTTAATTTCTAGATAGACATCAAATTTTTGTATTTCTGTTCAGTTTTTGTCTTTTATTTTCCCAGATTACATAGTTCCACCATCAATACAAAGAGTATTTGTTTGTGAGAAGCAGTAATAAACAAAAACAACCTAAGATGCTTTAAAGGGATCCCCAATTAGTTGTAACATTAGACTTTATTTAATAAACATATATTTTAACTGTAAAATAAAGACTGTGAAAATACTGTCGGCTGTTTAGTTTTGCACATTTTTAAAAATATAATTTAACACAGATGGAGCCTTTTTATTTTACACACAAAGCATTCTGGGTAAATGATGACGTGGGTAGGTCATCGGTGCGAGGCTGCTAGCGAGCTATATCCACCCTGAAGGTTAATCTTGGACAATATCTGATGATCGACTCTTTGAAATGAAACCAGAGAGCGTTGACAGAGAGGTAGAAATGACTCGGCCTGTAACTGAAAATATGGATGGAGGACCTCAGTTTAAGCTTGTTTGTCACACCAGCACCGAGCTAATACATAT